CAGAAGAGGAGCAAGCCGAGAAGCAAAAGCTCGCAGAACAAGGCTTTGGTGACTGGAACAGGCGAGACTTCCAGCAGTTCATTAACGGCTCTGGTCGCTATGGCCGCAACGACTATGAAGGAATTGCGCAGGAAGTTGACAGCAAGACTCCTGCAGAGATCAAGGCCTATGCCAAGGTATTTTGGCAACGGTATACCGAGATCGCGGACTATAACAAATACCTCAAGGTCATTGAGGATGGTGAGGAACGTATGCGCAAGATTGAACACCAGCGCAAGATGTTGCGCAAGAAGATGAGCCAGTACCGTGTGCCATTGCAGCAACTGAAGATCAACTACACTGTCTCGACGACCAACAAGAAGGTCTATACGGAGGAGGAGGACAGATTCCTTCTGGTGATGCTGGACAAGTATGGCGTCGATTCCGAGGGCATCTACGAGAAGATCCGGGATGAGATCCGCGAGAGCCCTCTTTTTCGCTTCGATTGGTTCTTCCTTAGCCGTACTCCCATTGAGATCAGCCGTCGCTGCAACACTCTGCTGACGACGATCGTCAAAGAGTTTGAGGACGAGCCTAGCAACACCACCAAGGCCAAGGCGAACGGGGTCAATGGCAAGCTCAAGCGTGAAGCGAATGATGAAGACAATGACGAAGACAGTGTTTTGGGCCTGGCTCCTGCCAAGAAGAAGACCAAGGCCAATGGTGTCAAGGTAAACCACCCCCTGCTTTTCTCACTTTGCAGATGTTCGTACTAACTCTAATTTGCCCGCGTAACAGAATAAAGCGCTAGACAACGTTAAGTCAGCGTCCGGTAGCAAAGCCACCTCGGCTGCCCCTTCGCGCGCGTCAAGCGTGGCGTCGACGGAGTCGAAGGCGACAAAGGGCAAGGCTGCCCCCAAGGGAAAGAAGAAGTAGACCGCTTGATGGTGGTCCAGACCAGAAATACAAGCTACGGCACATGTATTGACTTGGCTTGGTATTCGAAGCTGTAGTTGCGTTTCATATGACTGGGTTAGATTGGGTGAAGGGGCTCGGTTCACCACTGAGAAGAGTCCAGAGAGGGTTAATGCAGTTGGCTCGCGGCGTTTCCGTTGTGTCGTATTCATGTTGCGGTCTCGGTGATGGTTATCTCACCTGCCGTCATTTAGCGAGGGATTTCTCTGCCTACCTGAAGAACAAAAAATATCCTTTTAGTCAAAATCCGTTCTCTTGATGGATGAATAGGGCATGATGTGTGCAGTCTTGTACTTCCTTTACCCCTGTATTGTTGTTTCCACTTGTGTTGGATTCTTATTGACCATAAGAGAGTGAGTAAACAATTGGCGAGCGAAACTAGACCTCTACTTATAACGTCCAATCTGATATCACATGAACGAGGTTGCGCAAGATAGTAAGCAGAAGAACGACCGAATTCAAATATGACAAATGACTCTTCTGTGCTTCGATGAGGGGCAAAGTTTTTGGGTTTAAAAGGGACCAAGGGTTCCTTTCGCGACAAGATGGAAATTATATATCCGCTATCCGCGCGACTCACTTGTTCGTTCGTTTGCTTCACAACGAACCGCACCACCTCATCGCTCCAATCTTGCTCCTTTTCACTTTTTTTTTCACCAAATATTGGGTGGAACCGCCCAAATTCTCAGATTAGGTTGCCTGAAAAAAAACGCCGTTTGTGAAATGCCCATTTCCCCCAAATTGTTGGATCCCTGGACGCGCGATGTAAAAGAACCCGTTTGCTCATTTCCTTCCTCCGACAAGTCGAGAGAATCCTGAACTCAATAACACGACACCCATATTTCGTCCCGCGAATCACCTTTCCGGCCCTTTCTGCCGCCCCTCCTCGAATCCTGCTTGCTGAAAGTCCGAAAGTTTCAATCGATGTCGATAGAAGGGATCCGTTTAGGCAGAAATGGTCTGCTGTTGTTGCTGGTTGAGCTTGTTTTGCCTCTCCCTCTCGACCTCGTACATAAAGTCAAAGTAACCCTTGTCGAAGTGATGGATACGGACGTAACCGTCCTCACCACCGCTGGCGTAGCTCTTGCCGGTCGGGTCGGCGGCGACCGTGTTGAGGGGACCGAAGTGACCGCGCACGCGACCAATTTCGCTCTCGAAGATCTTGTGGTAGAAACGCGCCTCGAATTTACCCTGACGCGCGGAGGTGGTGGTGACATCCATGGCAGCCTGACCACCACCGAGAATGACGAAGTCCTTCTTGCGAGTGATGGTAGCGCTGTTAAGAGGGGTGTCGGCGGGGTAGGTCTTGAGGACCTCCAGGTCCTTAGCTGTGATGAGCTGTGAAAATAATCAGGGAGTGTTAGCATGCGATTAACTGTTCATCGATTCCGGTTTTAATGATCCATTCCGGAAAGAGAACAAAAAAAAAAAAAAAAGGGGGGGGGTTTGTTGTTGTGGAGCCATGTGACATACCTTGGAGGTCTTGTCCTTGGAGGCGGTAATGAAGTATGTACGGTCGTGCGACCACTGGAGATCGGTGATGGGCTGGTTGAGCTCGTGGATGGGGATGTTGTAGAGGAGGTCGCCGTTCTTGCCGTCGAACTGGGAGACAGAGCCGTCTTCGTGGCCGGCAATGATGTACTTGCTGAGGTAACTCCAGCCAGCGACAGTGGCCTTGCTGTCCTCGCAAACGATAGTCATGGCCTTCTCATCGCTCTGCTCGGCGTCAACGTCGAGCTTGATGTCGAGGACAACGATGGTACCCAGATGACCCATGCGCTTCTCCGTCACACCCAGAAGCTTGCTGCCATCCTCACTGAACTCGACGCGCTTGACGGCGGTAGGGAAGTCCCATGTCTTAAGAAGTCTGCCGGTCTTGATCTCCCAAAGGCGGATGGTGTTGTCGGCAGAACCGGAGGCGAGGATGGTGGATGTGGGGTCGACATCAATGGTCCAGATGGCACCCTGGTGGCCGTGGTATGTACCGAGACGCTCGCCGTTGTGCGCGAACCAAACGCAAATCTGCTGGTCCTTGGAAACTGAGAAGAGCAAATCACCGTCGCGGTTGTACCTGTTGGGGGTAAAGGGTTGCTGTTAGAGGCTGCATCTCTATATGCCCGACATGCCAAAGCCAGAACACCAAGAGAGGTCGGGTCGGCGGGTATGGTATGCGATGATGATGCGGAGGGAAGACGAACTTGATCTGGGTGAGGGCACGTTCGTGGCCCGAAAGAAGAATGGGCCTCATCTTGATTGTGGGTTATTAAATATGACGAGGCGTAGGACGGCGGTGTGGAAGTGTAATGGTCGTTAGAAGAGACTGGGTGGATTCGTCGTCGAGAAATATCGCGGGGGGGTTGCACGACTTGGGAGGTAGATGGGTGGATTAGTGTCTTTGTAGATGCGGTCGTCGTCGTCGGATCGGTCTTTGGTGTTCTTTCTTTGGGTGGATTTCCACTCCCAGTAATTTTTCCGCAGATTGTGCGCGATAGGCTGGCTGCCTCTGGCGGATTCTGACGGCCGCGGGGCGAATCAACACCTATCCCTGCAGATGCCAAGCTGCCCCTCTCCAGTCCCTCGTCCCAGCCAGCCGTGTGCCATTGAAGCTGCTGGTTTCAGTTCGGACCGGACTCTGGACCTTGCGATGCAGCCTGCCACCTCGATCCGCCGCTGGCAGCCTGCCGGCCCGTCAACAGCCACTGATAAGAAGTTGTGGCTCAGTCTGTGACTCAGAGTTTAAGAGTCAGTTGTATCCGTCAAGCCTGTGCCGCGGCCGCAAGCCACACCAACTTGAATCTAGAACAACGACACAGACAGGACAGTGCGAGCACATCATGATCCGAGCTGCTACCTGCAGCAAGCCGAGAACTTGGAGAGTCATGGATGCAGCATCTAAACACCGACTTCAACTGCAGTTATATAGATGCCCTCCTGGGAGTCGCATCGAGGAGGAACAGTTCTTCAACTCTCGGAGAGTGGTAGAGGGAAATAGAGCCTTTTCTAACGAGACATGGTAGGATTCTTGCAAGAATGCGTGGTGAATACGTACTTTTTTGAGGAGCTTGGGTTTGGGCTCTATTCTATTTAGGTTATTTGGTTGGCTTCACGTTTTGTTGTCACATTTACACTGGTCATTTGCGACACGTCTTGAGACACTCACCTTCGGTGACTCCTCGAGAAGGGAAAGAGAAAAAAAGAAAAAAAAGAAAACAAAAAATCACAAATCACGAACCCTCTATTCCCGCCAGCAAGCCGGCGATCATTGGATCCTCGACATCGATCCCCCGTCGTCTAGGCGGGAACCCATTGTGACTCCTCTGTGCGGCGCAGAAAACCCCTGGGTCCCGAATCCGTCTGGCCCCACCCCGTCGTGGAGGTGCCCGGGGGCGTCGACAGAGCTTGGCCGGGCGGAAGCCTTGAGCTTCTGAATATCCCTTGCCCCCGAGCCTGCGTCCGCTGCTGTTCAGTGTGATGTTGTTACAGCACGCACACAGAAAGACCACTGCACCCTTCTTCTAGCTCCCGTCTACAGTACCAGTCTGCGTCGTGTAGGCATGGCCATCTCCAGCTTCATCCAGAGGGTGTCTTCCACGTCAAGGAAGTCGCGTCGAGCCGGAAGCTGTCTCACATCCCTGTCCGCACACGGGTCGCTGAGCACACGGCGGCGCATTCAAGTTGAGCATACGGGACAAGACGTGCTCAAAAGATGGACATTGTCGTGGGGCACGGAATCCGACTTTCGGAGCTCTACCTCGGCTTTCGTCGCCTCTGAAGCTGGTACTACTGACTTCTCCGCCGCCCCGCGATCCACCTGCAGCCGCCCTAAGAAATCCCGTTATTGGCGCCTATCTCCAGTGACGGGGCTTACGGGGTCGTTTCTGGTGTCACCGTCATGCGCCGCTGCTATCCCCAGGGCAGCAGCTGCTAGCGATTTTGGAGCTAATGCGCTGCTCTCCCCCTCATCTTCAACTCTGCCTCTGCCTGACACTTTACCCTTTGCACCATCTTCCTCCTCCCGCTTTTCTCACATTCAGGGTCCTGTCTCTCGATACGCTGCTGCTTTTGGCCATCCGCGCAGCTCCATCAGGACATATTCCAGTTTAGCTTCTCCCAGAGCCGCAACAAGGGAGCCTGAAGCAGCAATGGCCTCCAAGATCGACGGCACCGCGCTGGCCAAGCGCATCCGCGACGGTCTCCGCGCTACCATCGAGGAGACCAAGAAGACCAACCCGCGCTTCCGCCCCTGCCTCAAGATCATCCAAGGTGCGCTTGTGTGTGCGCTGCGTGCTTTTGCAGATGAAACCCAGTGGCTAACCAGTTGACTGCAGTTGGTGATCGATCCGATTCCTGTACGTTGAGACTGCTGCACCGTCCACCACTTTATCTACCCCGCCATCACAGCAACATTTCTGTGCCACGCATTGTCCCTTGCTGACTGACCGTCTGTCTGCCATGCAGCTACCTATGTGCGCATGAAGTTGAAGGCTGCTGAGGAGGTACGCACAAGCTCGGGGATATCCTGTCCTACATCAGACGACTGGCAGGCAGGACTCGGACTGACATGTGATATCAATTACAGTGCGGTATCGAGGCTGAGCTGATCAAGTTCGACGAGAATGCCACCGAGGCCGAGCTTGTTGCCAAGGTGGTGCAGCTCAACAACGACTCGACCGTCCATGGCATGCTCGTCCAGTTGCCCCTCCCTAAGCACATTTCCGAGTATGCTGTCACATCGGCCGTTGCCGACGAGAAGGATGTCGACGGTTTCGGCACCCTCAACATCGGCGAGCTTGCCAAGCGCGGCGGCCACCCTTATTTCATCCCTTGCACCCCCAAGGGTGTCATGGCCCTTCTTGCCGAGGCTGGTGTTGAGCTCAAGGGAAAGAACGCGGTTGTCCTCGGTCGTAGCGATATCGTGGGCAGCCCTGTCAGCTACCTCCTCAAGAACGCCGACGCCACCGTCACCGTCTGCCATTCCAAGACCGCCGATCTCCAGCAGTACCTCAAGGAGGCCGACGTTGTTGTTGCTGCCATTGGCCAGCCTAACTTTGTCAAGGGCGAGTGGCTCAAGAAGGGTGCCGTTGTCATTGATGTCGGTACCAACTACGTTCCCGACGATACAAAGAAGTCTGGCGTCCGCCTGGTTGGTGACGTCGAGTTCGAGTCGGCCTCCCAGGTCGCTTCCGCCATAACTCCTGTTCCCGGCGGTGTCGGTCCCATGACGGTTGCTATGCTTTTGCAAAACGTTGTTGACGCCACTAGTTTCTACTTCGAGAACCAGAAGAAGAGGGGATCCATTCCTCTCCCCCTAAAGCTGGCGGAGCCCGTTCCTTCCGATATCGATATTTCCAGGGCCCAGGTTCCCAAGCCCATCACTCAAATTGCCACCGAGATCGGTCTTGCGCCCTCCGAGCTCGAGCCCTATGGTGCTTACAAGGCCAAGGTTGACCTCAGCATCCTTAAGCGCCTTGAGCACCGCCGTAACGGTCGCTATGTCGTTGTTACTGGTATTACCCCCACTCCTCTCGGTGAGGGCAAGTCCACCACCACTATGGGCCTGGCTCAGGCTCTTGGTGCTCACGTTGGTCGTTTGACTTTCGCCAACGTCCGCCAGCCCAGCCAGGGTCCTACTTTCGGCATCAAGGGTGGTGCTGCTGGTGGTGGTTACAGCCAGGTCATCCCCATGGATGAGTTCAACCTTCACTTGACTGGCGATATCCATGCCATCACCGCCGCCAACAACCTTCTCGCTGCCGCTATCGATACCCGTATGTTCCATGAGAACACCCAGAAGGACGGTCCTCTTTACAAACGTCTAGTCCCTGCCAAAAACGGAAAGAGGGAGTTCCCTCCCATCATGTTCCGCCGCTTGAAGAAGCTTGGCATTGAGAAGACGAACCCCGATGATCTCACCGAGGAGGAGATTAGCCGCTTTGCTCGTCTCGATATTGACCCCGAGACCATTACCTGGAGACGTGTTCTGGATGTAAACGACCGTCATCTGCGCGGTATCGTTATCGGCAATGCTCCCACCGAGAAGGGCCACAAGCGTGATACTGGCTTCGACATTTCTGTTGCCAGTGAATGCATGGCTATTCTGGCCCTCAGCACTAGTCTTGCTGACATGCGTGAGCGTCTCGGCAGAATGGTTGTTGCCAGCTCCAAGAGCGGCGACCCTGTCACTGCTGACGACCTTGGTGTTGGCGGTGCCCTGACTGTCTTGATGAGGGATGCCATCAAGCCAAACCTCATGCAGACCTTGGAGGGCACTCCAGTCTTCGTTCACGCCGGTCCTTTCGCCAACATTAGTATTGGTAACAGCTCGATCCTGGCCGACAAGATGGCCCTCAAGCTTGCCGGTACGGAGCCCGATGAGGATTACGCTACCAAGTCTGGTTTTGTCGTTACTGAAGCCGGTTTCGACTTCACCATGGGTGGCGAGCGTTTCTTCAACATCAAGTGCCGCACCTCCGGCCTCATGCCTGACGTTGTTGTTGTTGTCGCTACTATCCGTGCCCTCAAAGTTCATGGTGGTGGTCCCCCGATCTCGCCCGGTGCGCCGCTCAACCCTGTGTACAAGGAGGAGAATGTTGAGATCCTGCGCGCTGGTTGCGTCAACCTCGCCAAGCACATCCAGAATGCCCGTTCGTATGGTGTCCCTGTCGTCGTTGCCATCAACAAGTTCTCGACTGATACCCAGGCCGAGATTGACGTTGTTCGCGAGGAGGCCATCAGGGCCGGTGCCGAGGACGCCGTGCTCGCCAACCATTGGGCCGAGGGTGGTAAGGGTGCTGTTGACCTCGCTCAGGCCGTCATTTCTGCTAGCGAGAAGTCTACCCCTGAAACTCAGAAGCTTCTATATGAGGTTGAGGGCAACACCGTCCAGGAGCGTATCGAGAAGATCGCTCGTGAGATGTACGGTGCCGCCAGCGTCGAGTTCAGTGAGCTCGCCCAGAAGAAGGTCGATACCTATACTCGCCAGGGATTCGGCAACCTGCCCATCTGCATCGCCAAGACCCAATATTCACTCAGCCACGACCCCGAGCTTAAGGGTGCCCCCACCGGCTTCACTGTCCCCATCAGAGATGTCCGTATGGCCGCTGGCGCCGGGTATCTCTACGCTTTGGCTGCCGATATCCAGACTATTCCTGGTCTGCCTACGGCTCCTGGCTACTTTAATGTGGACGTGGATACCGAGACTGGTGAGATCCAGGGTCTGTTCTAGAAGATTTGAGTTTAGTTCAAAGCTGGTTGTTTCGCCTTGCAACCATTTCTTGTCGGTTTCGCTCTAGATATATTCGTCCTTTGCCTGGGTACATGAGTTTGGTGTTGCGGTTTGGGTATATAATGCATTCACGATCAACTCAAGGGTGCGGTAGAACCGGTTTTGGAGTATGTGTACGCCGGTAGTCTCTGTTCTTGTCTTTTAACAACACACACGGAATGGCGGCGCCACGGTGTACGGATTCAAAAAGAAGAAAGGGGCGAGCCAAATCAGATGGGGGCATCGTCGTGCGTATATGATATCATGTTTTGTTTTTGTTAGGTTCCATACATGAAATAAGAGGCCACGTTGAATTCACCGCGTTGCGCCATCCTGTGCTGATCAATACTCGGCCCTAATGCCTTTTCGCGACCTCTCTTTGAGCGGTATATCCTGAAGGCCCTTCTTGTCCGTTCGGATATACCAGGACATCCTCAATCTCGCTCATCTCTGTCTCATTCGTCGTGCACCATCCACATATGTATCTATTCTGTCTCTTGATCGCTCTTGTTAAGTTCTTAATAATTTTCAATAAGCAGTTTCTTTGCTTTTCTACTCGATCGATGCCCATGACTCTGTTCCATGCGGGGTTAGTGCTCTCGATGAGAAAAGGGAAACGAAACAAGTTGTGCACGAGGCACAAATAGGTACAGCGAAGACTACAACAAGATGAAGTCTTTAAGAAAACTTAACAATATATTGAAGAAAAGAATAAATATCATGGTCCGTGTAAGTAGAAGTACAATATAATACTGGTATGTTTGTTAGCTTGGTTCTTCAGCTATAAGTTGAATAGGGGAGATATAGAACTCTTATTGGCTTCCTTAGAGTTTTCATTTGGAGCGACCAATAATGACCAGGATGTAATACGCCACAAAAGCCTCTTTTTATGCCTCCATCCATCTCCTTGAAGACCTCCAAGCATAGAAAATATAAATGGGTAGTCCCCTTTCAGTGCCTAACTGTTTGGAAAATCGAATACTTTCTTACTTTCGGGGGCTCTCAAGTGGAGAAGGGCGTTTTTTGTACCAAACTAACAAACATACCAGGGTTAGATTGTATAGCGAAGGTGGATCCGAGAGATAGTACCAAAGGGAGAACGTTGTCTTTATCTTGGACTAATAACAATACAATAGGTATGATATAGAAAAGGTCGGACAACATTTTTACAGACATTACGTGTTTGTCTGGGAGCATCCATCTTCGGTCATTTATCCGTCCAAAAAACAAGTGATGATTGTGCTGAGATCCTTTGGCTTTGTTGTTTTTGTCGAAGAAGAGAAGGAAAAGTGATTGACGATGCAAATGTGACGTCAAGTTGTCGCTGAGCGTGCGGCCATAGCAATGACCAGCGGATGAAGAAACTGAATAATTGGGAACAGCAAACGGAGAATTGCATGACTCTGAAGAGCAAACGAAGAAAAAGTCGCCATACTCAAACAGGCTGTAAAGCAATGGCAAGTGCATGACGCCGTAAAAGGTGTGTGTAGGTAGGTCATCCAGAAAAGAATAACAAGGTCGCGTGTCGTGCGTGCCCCGTGAAAGTCGTATAAAGTCGTATAGTATATCGCCACGCCAAACAGCTTTACCGCCCGTCACAAATGGAAGAATTTCTTCCCCTCCTCCCTGCCTTTCCCGTCCAGAAATGAGAGATTGTACTGTACCAAACCCTTAGAGAAAAGAAACAAGCATGACCAAACTCAGCACCTACCACCGTTCCCAAGAACATGACCCATTGTTAGCTCCAACTCACCACATCACACCAACCCTCCCCAATTACCCCAGACATTTTTCATCATGATCTTCTTGAATACGTGTATATGCTGAGAACATCCTTTTTCTTTTAAATACGAATCATTAAGATTAAAACCAAGGTTTATCATTTCTCTCCCCGTCCTCCTCCAGCCTCTTGAGGACCGCGACAGCTTCCACATAAAGCATGTTCTTGCCCCCAATGCAGTCAACTTCCAGTCGACGACGCACCAGGGAGACAACGCTCATCGACTCAGGACGGCTCCGTGCCCGGATGATATCTTCCTCTGTGACGTTGTCCGCACCCAGCATGCGCAGCCAACTCATAGCGCGCTGGTCGGCTGCCGCCGAGCTTCCGTGCCTCGAGGTAAAACTAGCCCTGATATCGCCCGTTCGCTGACGCTTGGCCGAATGATGCTGCTGCTGCTGCTGCTGCTGCTGTTGAACGTCTGTAGCAGCAGCGATCGTAGAGCTAATCGTAGGGATCGACCGGGCTCTGTGGCCGAAAGCCCAGAATATCAAGGCACAGACGTACAGAGCCCAGTAATCGGATATGTCCTTTCCCCAGAATGACGATCGGTCTTCTGTTGCCGCACCCTTGACTGGTGCATACCGGGAGACCCCAGGAGAAACGGGACTCAGGAACTGTACAATAGAGCGGGCGGCATACTTGGTTGCCTTGACCACACTAAGATTGGCCATATCAGTAGGTACGTTCGCATCACCGCCTTGACGATAGTGATAATTCTCTGCCCAGGCTTTCAGGCACCTTTGGTGAATGCCAAATGCTGCGGCTGACAAGACTTTCTTGGTGAACAACCACGATTCGCCGCTGACAGCAAGAAGATCACGAAGCGGGGTATGATGCAATGCGAGGTAGGTACTGGCGATAGGACAACCGGGGAAAAGGCTTCCAAGACGTGTCTCTACGTCAAGCGAACCGCGAGTTCTTGAATCTGGGGGTTGCAAGAAGTCAGGCTGAAAGCAAGGTGATTCCTGCTGAAGAGGACTGAACTGGCTATTCGTGTAATGCAATTGGGGATCGACTTCGCTCATTGAGAACTTTCGGGCCGAGGCAGATGGTGCGGTCAAGCCCTGCCTGCATGGGATTCGCAGATATTCAGCTACAAGAATGATCATCCGATCGATGCTGATCTGCCTTGAAACGAAATCGGGGGTAATGGTTCCTGGCGAGGGCGCAAAAACTGGGATGCCAGCCGAAGGGTCTTCCGCAAGGATCTTCGCCCAGGGAGCTGCTGAAGAAGCCTCCCAAAGCCTCAAGCTCGAGCCCATAAGAGGGATAGGTGGGTGTGTCAGTTTTGAGGTCACTGAGGACTGGCCTAGTTGCGGCTGCTGCTGATAGATAGCGACGTGTCCATCGAGGAAAAAGCATGCTGCCAGGAGACGGCGATGTGCCTCTGCATCAACCCAGTTCTTCCAGGAGGCGTGAATCGATAATTGTTGATCCGAAGGGGAGGCAGTATAGTCGATCATAGTTGGGTGATGATACAAAACCTGTGGGTTGAAAGCACCCTGTAAGTACGTCTGTTCGCTGACCTCAAGCTGTGGCTGAGAAGGAAGAGAAAAGCCCAAAGAGTGATGATTTGATGTAAAATGAGACGACCCAAACCTTCTCCGCCGAGACGGCTGGGCAGGCGTGAGAGGAGAAGAGAAGTTATTGAAATTATCATTATAAGAAGTGAAAGACGGAGAAACAATGCCGAGAGGAGAGGAGGTTGAAGATGAATAAGACGATGGAAAATTGCCGATGTGGGCAGGGTCCAAAGCACTGAGGTGTCGCAGTGCAATGGAGGACATCGTGTTTGAGGTGGCTGCCATGGAAATAGAAGAGCAGTCCGAAGTAACAGATAACGAACCAGGGGACCAGGCACTGGGATCAATGGCCCATGATCCTTGAATGCTTTCGGGAGTTGAGAAAGACGACACAGTAAGGAACTGTGAAGCACTCACCCTCTTGTAGAGATCCTCAAACAACCTCGAGGGTCGTATAACGGCATTCTGTCCGCGTAACCGGGCGAAGTATTCGCATAGAAAAATTGCCTGCATGACTTGGATATTCCACTGTAGTGTCTATATTGACTCCAACCGTCAGTGAACAAAACTTTATGCTGCAAAGACCATGCTTGGTCCTCCTTGAAGGGATTGAGAGTGGCCGACTCACTTTCTTTACCTCCCTCCAAGCCAAATCATGCAATCGGCTGCCCTTGACACGATCTTCTTCGTCATCGAGAAGCTGGGTCGCCATCGCAGCCATGGCATACCGCAGCACCTCTTCAGGCGCGTTTTCGAAGGAAGCTCGATGGACTATTGGGAGCAGGGGGTGGACTTTCTCCCAGTATACCGCAAGATACCGCGGAATAGCGCCGTGGAGAGGATTCATTAGTGATTTAGGAAGAGTGGCCCCGGTGAACTCGCACCCATTACTTATCGGCAAACCCAGTGTAACCAAGTTTCCGTTTTCATAACCAACATCGTCGCTGCTGTAGCTGGGATCGGCACTACCCTCAAGCCCAGCTCTCATAGCGTCAAACATGCCGATGTCCTCCAAAGGGAATGGAGCACCCGGCATACCATACGAGGAGTCCAACAACGCCTCTTTCTGGATCCGGGTGTCCAATTGAGGTTGAAGAGCAGTGGCAGGCAACACTAAAGTTTGTGTGTGAGAAGGCGTGTTCAGAGGCGGGGTTGAACTACGAACAGACGAAAACGAACTACCACGCTGGTGCTGGCGGTAAGAGCCTTGCGGGGAGCTCGCTCCACCTGCTCTAGGAGGCACGATAAGATGATTGTAGGGCCGCGGCCGTGAGCCGGGATTGTAAGACGGCGAGTTTGCTAAGCGACGGGTGAACATATTTTCCTGTTGGATTTGATCTCCAGTGTCGGAACTCGATGGGTATAATTGGGGAAGGTTCGGAAAGGGAGTCATCACTGGACCTGTCCATATCTCCGTACCAGATACTGGAGTTGTTGAGTAGCTTGAGGTGGTCGTCGTCGAAGGAGAATGACGCCAGGAGTCTGACGTAGGTACGTCCGGAATGGGTGTTTCCATTCTCGATTGTAGCGGCTGTATTCTAGGCGGTTGAGGCGGCCAATTGATGTCTGGGGACGATACAACCGGGTTGTATTGAGGCCCAGGGGGGTAGTGATATGGATCTTGGGCTCCGACATAATCTGGCTCTGGCTGCATTCCTGATACTGTATCATGGCGTAGTACTCTTCCGCAAGGATCGGAAGAGCCTGGTGATAGCCCGCCAGATGGCCTTTGGCCCGACCGTGACGGTACAAATTCAATCGGTGGAGAGGGTGGACCAGGATTGTCATGCTTGTGGTCACCTGGTACAGTTTGAAGCACTTTATCGCCTTCTTGCTCACTGCGAGCAACATCATGATTAGTACAAACTTGGCTGCGCACCAGTTCCCAGATCGGTACTTACTGTCTCTGCTGATGTCGAACCAGCAGGTCCGACCGATGGAACGCCTTGTCACAATTGGGATATGGGCAAGAGTACTCTGGGGGCCCATGACCAAGTTGATGACGTCTCAGATGCTCTGCCCTCGTAAAGGTCTGTTCGATAGTGTTAGCAGAAATAGCAATACTTACAGGACATGTGAAGTCTTCTTGCCTTTGATGGCCTGCAGATGTCGCAAACATGCACCGGTATGCCTTTCTTTGCTCTGCTCACTCGGCCCGTGATGGGCGTGAGCCTCATGGGAAGCTCGGAAGTATGGGACTGTGAACGCATTGGCCTCAATGGCGTGTGCGACTGGGGGTAGTTGCCGCCCGTTGATGATGTTGACGCAGATCCATACCCCGGAGTATGATCCGCCGAGTCATTGCTCGCTGTGCTACGACGGCGCATCGTGGACCTGATATGAACAGCTAGTGGAATCGAAGATGCAACAGGGTTGACGCCTTTGGATCCCCAGCTAATGCCCTGGCTCTTGGTCTGAGAAGAGGTAACAGCTAGGCTGATATCTCGAGGTGGCATAGATGGTCCGGGGTTACTGTCATATCTCGGGAGCGTGATAGGTGGTAACGTTGTCGGTGGTAGTGATGGTAGTTGAGTATGGAGAGGTGGTCTATGGGGATGGCCCATGTTGACTGGATGGTCCGAGGCGACGTCCTTTTTATTGATGTGGTGAGACTCGGTATGGTCGTCGTTGACATCCATTATGAACTTGAGGCTAGCCATTGTGGGCGGCAATCTCAAATTAGGAAGTCAGATACCAAGTTAGTAATACACAGCCCGGTTTGAATATCCGCAAGAGCAGAGGTAGCAGTCAAAGAGGGAACAGAGGAAACGTCAAGCCAGATCTGGCAGGGCAGTACGTAGTCTAGTACGTACAAGCGCGGCTGCAGCACGCGCGAAGAGGAGACTTCAGTTGATGGGTAGTATGTGAGCAAAGGCAGGAGACAAGCCCTCAGCCTTCCTCCGAGTAGTAGCGAAAGGCCGCGTCGTTGGGCGATCCGAGTGGAGACATGTCGAAAGGTTGCGTACTAGGTACGGGCTCGAGGCGCGCTGGAGGCACTGCCATACCGAGATGGCCTTTGCACCGTACTGTGTAGGTAAGGTAGACTTGGTTAGACTTGTCGTTGCGTGCTGCGGCAGAGTAGCAACAGAGAGCTGCGTGAGTAAGAGACATACGTGAAGGCTAGGTAGAGAGAGTGTGTGTGTGGTAGCAACGAAAATGATGGGATGCAAGGGAAAATCATCCATTGGTACCGTCTTAGCCTACCTTGCAGAGGCTGGGTGCGCACCCGTTTGAGAGAGGCTGTTACTGAGGCCAGGGGTCAGTCCCTGTCAGCCGGGGTGGTAAGGGTCCATAGGACAGACAGGGAAGATATCGGGTACGTACCAAGACGGAAAAGTTTGGGGGACGGGAGGACTACCTACTGACTGTACACTAGTGTACCTACTTTCCAGAAAATATCTCAAGATACCTCCTAAAAGTAATGGGCTGCTAAACCCAACAACATGATGTTTGCCGCGATGGCAAGCACACATGCGTTAGACGCCATGGCGGCACCAATCAAGTGGTTTGAAGCCCACCAAGTCAAAGTGATAGTCGCGATCAGACAAGCGCGCAGGTGGTGTCTGCTGCGACGCATCAGCTTTGCAAACCCGATGTCATCGTGCGGCCGTCACATACATAGGTAGCTTGCATGTTCGTTCCCATGACAGTGGGCGTTCACGTGTGCGTACGCTGCTTGGCACGCGAAGGTTGGACAGTCCTACCGTGTACCATACATAGTATCTTCACTTGAGCCAGTTGGTAGAGGTAGCTTTCTCTTCGCCTTGGTCACTGGGGACGTCCCCTGCCCGCTAGAGGTACTCTGACAACGAGAGCTGGAGGCGCAGCTCTTCCTACCTGCAAGCCCGGCCAAATCGTGACACAAGCATCTAAAATGGGGACAACTCGATGCGTTGTGTGACGGTCGACTTGTGGCGCTTTTCGACCCATCATCTGCGCTATGTACCGGTATGACAAGGTCTGAATTCGTCGGACATGTTCAAGGATACACCGGACGCGGACTTAGAGAAAAGAGTCGAACTAGGTGTCGTGATGGAGCCAAGTCGGCCTTCCACACAACTTGTCAAACATGCTCGTTAGGCGGCGCTTGTCCCGCATCTGTCGGCTCTTGAGTCGTCGAGGATATGGTACCGCGTTATGTGTAGTGTACACCTGTGCAGGCATTTACATTTTACACTGCTTTGTTAGCGCGGTGAAATTGTACAGTACTAAGTGGCGATACCGCGCTAACATAGTACACTAAGGTAGGTAGTGAATACCGGCAGAGGTGTACATACAGAAGTGGAGTACAGTGTCCACACCTAGTAGTACATCACCCTGCCCACGAAATAAATGGCCCCGCAAAACCAGACAACACCACTTTGAACATCAACGAAATGACCAAACGACTACCAAGATGAATGATTTCTACTGCTTTCTAGCGGCCAGTTATTCTTTCTTCTAACTCTATACAATCTTGAATAATCTGCGAAAAAGCGTCAATCCGACAATTGATCCTTTCTTGTGTCAAGGCCTGCCAAAGCCAGGAAAACCGTTTCGCGGGGCCATCTATTTCGTGGGCAGGGTGTACATATGTAGTGTAAATGTACGAGGTGCAAGAGGCTCGGTCCGCTGTGGGCCAGGGGTAACTACAAGGTTGGGAGAATTCTACTTTTCTTCCATCCAACGTCGAATATCTCGAACAGGCCAAAGTTTGACCAATGGAACATGCTGCAGTGCATGTTATTGCCTTGACTGGCTGTGCTCGGGTTCTGGATTCAACATTTTGTTTTCGAACCTGTGTTCTTTCGTCTAGACGCGACTAGATATCGTCGTATTCCGCTGATGAAGAATGACATAGTGGGTGGTGGACGCGGACAAGGGGGGAACGCCATCGTCGATTTTCATTGGCGTGGCCGTTCCCACTGCACAGCGCCAGGTCAGAAATCCTATTTCGAGGAATTCTCTATGCAAGTTTGCTTGGGTCACGGCTCGGGAGCCAAGCTCAACTGCTCAAGTGCAGAACTTCAAAGTAGATGATAGATGGTGAAAGGTGCCGTTGACGTGACGAGTATACGTACACTACGTGCTCGCCTCTTACTCGGTTGCAGCATCCAAGTATCATGAGATCTGGTCGAGATGAATAGAGGTGGTACCTTGTTGCACTTGGCCATGTGAACGGCAGCAGGCATATGAAACCTTGGGCATGTCTCCAAGACACATCATCAAGCCCTTGCTAGGGCCCATGAGGCTCAACGAAGGAGGCTTCGGGCTCCTGAGCCGGAAACTGCCGGACACTTGAACGGCTGAAGCTGAGGCCTGCGGGCCGACAGTCAATGGAGAAGCGGGGGCCAAACATGGGGACAGTCCTCTGAAACAAAATCGAATTGGCTGCATGAGCAAGACCTGAAACCCAGGCCGGGTAGGCGTACAGAGTGGGAGCAAGGTTAATCAGCCTTTCCACTACAGGCCATCAGCTCCATTAGCCTCGCATGCAAGGCAAACAAGCGAGCGTATATAGTCAGGATCCATCTGATAACGGCTGAGCTTCAGCTGTGCTGGTGGAGGATAATGAAGGGGGCGCCCGTGTAGGGTGTTGACAGCTGAAGAATGGACTGCGGCCTCGGGCAACATTCACTAGCAGCTGCCGAGGGCAATGCACCCATGATATCGCATCATATTTCTCTCGGTGATGCTCTTCGGCAGATGAAGCAGAGAGCGAGTTGTGACGAGCTGTCCAGCGCGCGTAGACCACAGTTTTTCATTCGCTTCCATGGACCTCAAATGAGAGGTGCCGAACATGCAGTAAGTTCTGGGTCGTCGGCCGGCGCGCCTAATATCCGCGGTGAGTTTGGTGATCAGGCGCAGGCACGCCAGCTACACAAAGTGACCCGCAAAGGACCTGGGATGTAATGATGGTCCCGATGTGCCGGCATTGCGGTCTGAAGTTTGTGTGCAGTGGAGGTGTGTAAGGTACAAACAATGCGTGGCGGCGGTTGCGATATGCATACATTATGATATCTGCCATGGATACTGACCAGGATTTTGTGTCGATGCAAACTGGGTCAACCATATCGCCATGCTTTGTGGTCTTGGACAGGTGGCAGTGTGATGTGTTGAAAGACGGTGCAAGCCACAGGCCCATCAGGCAGCCAGTCATGCTAGCAGGGACCGGAACTTGATGCGGGCCCGCGATGTATGCTCGATGCTGGAAATCATGCTTAGATGCTACTGCAAATCAATATTGTGAAGAATGAAAGCAAGGTTTCGCTGGCGTTTCCCATAGATCATCCATCTAGGTGCCTTCATGATGGCCATGCCCGCGGTGATCCCGTCAAACGCGGGGCATCATCCAAGCAAGACAGGATTGAGCTGCCTCGATTGGAGGAGATTTCCGAATTTGTCTTTTGAGACGAGCGAGGTGCATGGGTGATGAAGCAGTTCGGCAGTGCTGCGCTTTGTGTTGCATTGGAGATGGACAAATCGAGGTGTTGCGGTGAGGTTAACAATTTTTTTTTTGAACGGTTGGAGTCGATCAAAAGTGGTGGAAGATACCTCTAGTCTAGAGATCAGGTGTATTCCAAGATTGGAAAGATGGAAGCACGCGACGTCCCATCACTCAATTCGTTCGCAAATGTCCGTACAGTGCAATACCTAGAGGATATGGAAGGGCTTGCTTGCCCCGTCTGCGCACATAGACCACGAGTTGGTGCCGACTGGTAGTGTACCTAGAGCAACTGCAGAACACTATCAGATGCTTTGCATGAGTGGTTTGTTAGTTCCCTCTTGGTACATACATACGCCGGTCTTGGCCGGCGCTTATGGTGCTTTTATTTTTAGCATCCGGCTTGGCATCTCCAACTTCTCCAACACAACAACCCCACCCCTTCCCCCCTCATGGAAGCTACCCCACCGTCGACTACATACCATCCATCGCGCCTTCACTTCCACAGTCTGTTGCAGGAAAATTCCTTCCAGTTTCTTCCGATTAAGTATGACTCTAACAGTTCTCTTCCTCATTCTTTCCATCCATCCCAACACAATGCGGACAGTGATTCGAATCATGTCCTCCTGTTAATCGTAGAGCGGATTCATTGCCCCTCCCCGTTCATACATACCTCTTACCCCAGATCGCAAAGGCCTTTCAAGTCGCACAGCATCCAACAAAGTACAAGACCAACAAGGTCAGTCAATCCATGTTAACTGCAGTCAGCAAGAGACCAACTTGAACCGTTGCGTGGGATGAGAATGTTACGTCCAAAGTGAGAGCAAGCCAGTCATCTATGTCACCGCATCCAATGGTGCCCTCGATCCTGTTCACCAGCCATGGGGGACGAGCCACAGATTACACGGAATCAGGCACGCTAAGGACCTACCCGGTAGGTAGGTACTATGTATGTGCCGCGTCCATTGTATCTTGTTCCCGCTTTGCCATCGTCAGTGACTCGGTATCGACGTCCATAACTTCTCTACAGTGCCGCTATGCCAGTCTCATTGCCTTACAGGTACGTACCGCTTTAGGTTGTGTTCGGGGGCTGTAAGGTGCAGTCTTACAGCTGCACTTTTCGTATTCGGTTGGATTCCAGAAAAATTCTGCAATTCGCTGCATTAGGTACCCAATGCATGCACCAAACCAGGGGCAATCAGAGATCCAGATTCCTCACTGAAATACGAACATTTG